CCGCGTGTTTTTTTCGCATGCGGTTTCGGAAGACGTGCCGGGGCACCCTGCTGAATCGCCAGCAGTGGACAATACCTTCGGCGAGCATAAGAAGGGCAGCATTGTCACGCTCAACGTTCGACGGGGAAGCAGATGGGGGGGGAATTCCTCGTCGGATGCCCCCACGCCGTAGTTATGCTGCAGGAGCACCACATCTCAGCTAACCTCTTGGCCGACGCTCAGGCACGGGTGACCGACATGAACTGGCAGGGCTTGTGGTCAGCAGCGAAGGAGACTGGCAGTGCCAGCGGGGCGCAGTCAGGCCTGGCCATTCTGGCAAGGCCGACGGTCTTGGTCACTCGTGCCCCGTTCATGACGAGTGACTCCCTGGCAGATGGTCGCGCGCTCCCAGCTCAAGTGCACTGGGGAGTGCCAGGCGGCGTCGTGCTCATCTCGGTCTACGCGTGCGTGAACGAGGGCTGGTCGGACAACGTTTACGTGATGCAAGAGGCGAGCAGCCACGTGGAGCGCCTCAACTACGCGGCGTACGACTGGATTGTGGCAGGCGACTTCAACATGCAGCCGTCCGAGATGGGTGACCTGCCCTGGCTGCACGGCTTGGGCGGCATACTCCTCCTCCTCCTCCTCCTCCTCCTCCTCCTCCTCCTCCTCCTCCTCCTCCTCCTCCTGGTCCTACCCCTCCTCCTCCTCCTCCTCCTTCTCCTCCTCATCCTCTTTCTCCTCCGCCCCCCCTCCTCCCATTCCCCCTCTCCTCCCCCTCCTCCCGCTCCTCCTCCTCATCCTCCTCCCCCTCCCCCTCATCTTCCACCTCCTCTTTCCCTCCTCCTCCTCCTCCTCCTCCTCTTCCTCCTCCCCTTCCTCCCAGTCCTCCGCCTCCTCCTGCCCCTCCCCTCCTCTTCCTCCTCCTCCTCCCTCCTTTTCCTCCTCCTCCTCCTCCTCCCTCCTCCTCCTCCTCCTCCTCCTCCTCCCCCTCCTCCTCCTCCGCTGCCCCTCCTCCGCCTCTTCCGCCTCCTCTCCCTCCTCCCCCGCCTTGTCTTCCTTCTCGACTTCCTCCTCCTCCTCCTCCTCCTCCTCTCCTCCTCCTCCTCCTCCTCCTCCTTCTTCCCTCTTCCTCCTCCCCCTCCTCCTCCTCATCCTCCTCCCCCTCCTCCTCCTCCTCCTCGTCCTCCTCCGCCTCCCCCTCCACCTCCTCCTCCTCTTCTTATTATTATTCTTCTGATTCTTACTCATCTACGTTTTCTTCTGGTTAATAGTATTAGTATTAATCGTCGTAGTCTTCTTCGTCTTCTTATTATTCGTAGTGTTTTCTTCGTAGTCTCAGTATTCGTATTTTTCTTCTTAGTATTATTATTCGTCTTCTTAGTAAAATCCTTCATAACCTTATTCTTCCTATTATTATTATTCCTCCTCCTCCTCCTCCTCCTCCTCCTCCTCCTCCTCCTCCTCCGCCTCCCCCTCTTCCCTCCTCCTCCCCCTCCTCCTCCTCCTCCTGCTCCGCCTCCTCCTCCTCCTCCTCCTCCTCCTCCTTCTCCTCACCTTCCCCCTCCCCTTCCTCCTCACCGTCCCCCCTCCCCTTCTCCTCCTCCTCCTCCTCCTCCTCCCCTTCTCCTCCTCCTCCTCCTCCTCCTCCTCCTCCTCCTCCTCCTCCTCCTCCTCCTCCTCCTCCCTCATCCTCCTCCTCCTCCTCCCCCCCATCCTTCCCTTCTCTTCCTCTCCCCTTCCTCCTCCTCCTCCTCCTCCTCCTCCTCCTCCTCCTCCTCCTCCTCCTCCACCATCACCAGCACGACCACCACCACCATCACAACCACCACCAGCACCAGCACCAGCACCAGCACGAGCACCAGCACCAGCACGAGCACCAGCACCAGCACCAGCACCACCACAACCACGCACACACGCACGCACGCACGCACGCACGTGCACCACCACCCACTACGCACGCGCGCGCGGAGCCACAGGTCCGCTACGACACGCGTCCGCGGATAGAGAAAATCAGCGCCATGGTAAGGGATGGGAGGGAGGGGTAGGACGTCAGATATGACGCGAGCGCACCTAGCTTGTCCTCCTCCTCCTCCTCCTCCTCATCCTCCTCCTCCTCCTCCTCCTCCCCATCCTTCCCCTCCTCTTCCTCCTCCCCTTCCTCCCATTCCTCGTCCTACTCCTCTCCTCCTCCTCCTCCTCCTCCTCTCCTCCTCCTCCTCCTCCTCCTTACCCTCCTGTTCCTCATTCCTCCTCCCTCCTCCTCCTCCTCCTCCTCCTCCTCCTCCTCCTCCTCCTCTCCGCCTCCGCCTCCTCCTCCTCCTCCTCCTCCTCCTCAGCCTCCCCCTCTTCCTCCTTTTCCTCCTCCTCCTCTCCCCCCCCTCCATCCTCTTCCTCCTCCTCCTCCTCCTCCTCCTACTCCTCCTCCTCCTCCTTCCTCCTCCTCCTCCTCCTCCTCCTCCTCCTCCTCACTCCTCCTCCTCCTCACCTCCTCCTCCTCCTCCTCCTCCTCCTCCTCCTCCCTCTCCTCCCTCTCGCCTCCCCCTCATTCATTCACCCTCCTCCCTGCTCCTTCTCCTCCTTTTCCTTTTCCTCCTCCTCCTCCTATCCCCCCCTCCTTCCTCCCTCCTCCTCCTCCTCCTCCTCCTCCTCCTGTCCGCCTCTTCCTCCTCGTCTTCCTCCTCCTCCTCCTCCTCCTTCTCCGCCTCCTCCTCCTCCTCCTCCTCCTCCTCCTCCTCCTTCCTCCCCTTCCTCCTCCTCCTCCTCCTCCTCCTCCTCCTCCTCCTCCTCCTTCTCCTCACATTCCCCCTCCCCTTCCTCCTTTTCCTCCTTTTCCTCCTCCTCCTCCTCGCTCTCCTGCTGTTGCTGCTCCTTATTTTCCTCCTCGACTCCTTCTCCCCCCTCCTCATCCTACGCCTCCTCCGTTTTTGGCTTGAAAAACACGGGTCCTGTGGGAACCGGGGCCCTTTCCCAATACGCAGTTCTCCCGCGTAGTGTTTGTTACGCTCCCGGGGTTCGCGGAAGGCCCCGGGAATTCACGGCCCGTTCCCCTCTGGACCCGCCTGTTTCATCACGGCGCGTCGTCGAAGCCGTCGCCCCCGTCGTCGCCGCTGCCGACCCGCCCTCCCTGTACCCGCCCCGCCCGGGACGGCTCCTTCCACTCCACGCGCCCCAACACCTGCTCGTGGTCCACTTCAAACACGAAGGCCTGGGCCAGCGCCGGGCGAGGCAAGGACGACGAGGGCGACGAGGACGGCGACGTGGACGGTCACCGAAGGGCAAGTTCGACAACGACGACGACCAGGAACTAGGGCAAGATCGGCAAGGGCTACAACCACGGCGGCGACAATGACAAGGCCGAAGGCGGCCAGAACGTGGACGACGAGGAAGAGGACGACGACGACGACGACGTCGACGAAGCCGACCAAAAAGAATTGTTGCTGTGTTTCGCGGTAGCGGCCGGTATTACCGTCCCCGGCCCCACCCTGGCGGCGTGACGATTCGTGCTGGCGCCTCCAGCGCAGGAGCATGGTTTTCTCGGCCCATCCCTCAACGCTGTTGCTCCTTATCCTCCGCACTCCCCCCGCCCCGCCCTGCACTCGCGCTGCCCGAACTCCGCCGCATGCGAACATGCACCCTCGCTGCGCGGGTCCGAGTGAAAGCGCGGCGTGCCGCGGGGTCGCGGCCTTCCCACTGCACCACCTCCACCAGAACGGCTCGCCCCTCTGAGGAGGCACCGCCAGACGGCGGCAAGAATCGGAAGACTTCGCGTTTCACCCAGTATCACGAAATTCCGCTCCACGAGCTCCGTCGACACCCTTTGCCCCTGCGCGCAGGTCTCGCCTGACAGCGGCAGCCAACGGAACGCCCAGCTACATATCCCACGCCACCAGTCCCACCAGTTCCGCGCTCACCTCCAGGGCAAGCGCGCGAAGAAACAATAGTCCGACAACCGAAACAAACACAACTTCCCACTACTGAGCTATATAGCGCTCGTCTCCCGAACCAACACCGTACCCGGAAACAATCAGGCTACCAGAAGCTTTTCAGTGTTCCAAACCTTCCGCCTCCCGAAACTCTACTCCACTCCTCGACGGCGTTCCTCATCGAAGGCCCGGTTACTGCGGGAGACAGTGGGCAGTCCACGGAGGCCAAAAACTGCGCCCAAACCTGCGCCACGACGGCAGGCAGCAGGCTGCAGGTTGGACTAAACACCTGATCATTTATGTTTGCCTCGCAGGCACAAACTCTGTGGAGCAACGTCTCTGGCGGTTGGCCTCGCAGGCCCATGCTCTGTGGAGCAGCGTCTCTGGCTCCTTCGCACACCTGTCGCGCAGCTGCACGGGGAGGAGGTACCCCTGCTCTATGCACCTGGTCTTCGACCACTGTCCCCCGCTGACGACCGTGATGTCCAAGGCTGTCTGGTCTAGCTGTCCCAACTTCTCGAACCTCTTCTGCTCCTTGACAATCGGCCAAAAAAGTCTGCTCCAGCCACCTGTCCCTGTCCGTGAGTGTACACGTCGGTGGGAAGAAGTAGGTCGAGACATGAAGTAGGAAGGCAGACAAAGTACATTGGGTCCTGGACCACCCAGAGCATAACAGAACGCAGCAAAAGCACTCCGACTATTGACGCAGAAAGGCGCCTGAAGTACATTCGACTCTGGGAATCCAAAAATAGATACTTCCAGCGACCGACGTGCAGGGCGGCAGCAGCACCGCCACAATCCCCCACGGATGTCCGCCGCGAGGTCGTCGATGGGCTGTTGGAAGCAGCCCTTGGGGTCGAACCCACCGTCCAAGGCCGAAGCGACGTGCCACTGCTCCGTCTGGTGCGCGCCAAGCTTTGTGGATGCCATGACAATGGACACTCTAACAATCCTACCATTGAACTCATGAAGCTAAGTGTTAAATGTGTAAAACGTGTTCTACAAGTGTTTCAAACATGCTTATGAGGGCGATCGTTTTCACGCAGACGCTTCTATATCATGCGGTGTGCAGCCAGACGAGATAACGTCATCTCACGAACGCTTTGCAACGGCAGAGCCTCTGAAAGCTTCTCCAGAGACCCCAGACAAGGTCAGGGACAGCAGGGTTGGGCAAAGAGAGTCACATAAAATTGGGAGGGAAAACTTTGAGCAAAAATGGGCCGCGGTCGCTTCCCACTCTCGCAGTTTCCACCCGCCCTCATTCCAGTCAAAGACAGTGCCATGAGGGCGATCGTTTTCACGCAGACGCTTCTATATCATGCGGTGTGCAGCCAGACGAGATAACGTCATCTCACGAACGCTTTGCAACGGCAGAGCCTCTGAAAGCTTCTCCAGAGACCCAAGACCACTTTGTGCCCCGGGCCCATGAATGCCCTGGGATCCTTAGATCACGACAAGTTTGAAAGCAGTCCCTGACCAGACCGAGCGAGATGACATGAGTGAAAAACCTCGGCAAGCTTTTTACAAAGGCGGGGGGGGTAGGGCTGTGCAATTAAGGTCCAGGATTTCCCATTCGGGGCTTTGCCAGAGAGCTCGAGGTGGGGGCGACCAGACCGAGAGCACACCCCCCGCCCTTTACACTTAAAAGAGTCCAGAGTCCTACACACGCCGTCAGGTATATTACACAGCATGAGTCTAGTTGCTTTTCTCCATCGGGTACCGAATTGGCAAAAATCTACTCGTTCCAATTTGACTTGCGGACAGGCGAGAAACCTTAGAACCTCAGGAAGGATCCAGAACATCGAGGTGAGAGGGTTCTCGACGATGCACGGGACCTTCATTCTCAGGCAGAGGCGTACCAGTTTTATCGTGAACCTGGTCAGCAAGTTACCGATACGCACCTTCTCCATGTCCACGGCACTGAGCTCCGCCAGGCCCCAGGGAAACTCGTTGGATCGGAGCGGCGGTGGGCGCCCACGACGTGCCCGGCTCAGTGTGTGACAGGGAGTTGCGATCATCACACCTTTTATCTTGCCAGTCCGGACTCGATTCAAAAGTCTTTGTTGATTTCGATTCTTTGTTAGATCGTGATCTGGGCCATGCACGACATCGGTCACTGTAGCACGGCCTCCAAGTTTAGTCACTTCCGCTGCGACACCTCCGCAGCCGGAGTAGACGTCCTCAAAAGCCCACTGCGCGGCAGCGACGGTACGGCGGGCGGGGCGAGGCCGTTCAGCATCACGTCCTGCAGGTTGGCCTCGCACCACAGGGCGAACTGCTGGAAGCTTTTGGGCAGCCGCTGCCACTGTGCCTGCGCACGGCCGCCCTTCTCGTAGCGGGCGACGCTTTTGTGGCTGCCCCAGCGGCCACGCTTCATGATCTCGTCCAGCGTGCGTCGCAGCTGCAGACGATCCCACGACGCGCCGCTGTGGCGGAGCTGGTAAGGGACCAGCTCTGGGAGCCCCAGCCGCTTCGCAGCCGCCTTGAACTGCTTCAGGTATGCGGCGTAGCTGTAGTTGAAGACGGGCTCGTCGCCGTTCTTGCCGCGCACCAGCTCGCGCAGCAGCTGCGTGGTCCACGCCTCCTCTTTGTCCCAGATGACGGTGTCGTCGTAGATCCCCACCTTGGTCGGCCTCAGCTCCTCGGACGGCCGGATGACGAACGCCCAGTGGGGACCCACGTTCGACGACGGGGGGATGAGCCACTTCGCCTTCAGCTCGTGAATCTCCCCAGGCCGCGCGTAGGTCACAAGCGCGGCCAGCGTCTCGATGGCCATCGTGCGGAAGCCCGCCCGCACCAGCTCCACCATCAGGGCCGCCCACACCGGTCGCGCCTCGGGGAGCCGCGACTGCCCAGGAGCCAGGCGGTCCCAGCCCTGGAGGGCACGGTGGGCGCGGGGAAGCCGAAGGGTCCCAGCTCGCCCGAACTCCGGGCGGAGGCCCTTGATGGCCGCCAGCAGGTAGTGCCCTACGCTCCCGTCCATGCCGTTGAAGAACTTCTCGTCGAACACCTCGATCAGGGCGAAATCGACCTCCTCCGTGGAGTCGAGCGAGAGACCGAGCCTGGCGCAGTCCTGCACGAACCCCTCCATCACCTCCACGTACTGCTGGTCGACCTTCTCCCCCACGGCCTTCGTCTCCAGGAACGAGCGGCCGAGGGCGTCGGCCTCCACCGAGAAGCGGTCCTGCCTCACCAGCGCCGTACTCAGCCTCCTCAGCTTCGCCGGCTGCGAGATCGGCACGCTCCTCGGCAGACGCGGGATCTCCCTCCGCGGTCGAGCCGACGGAATAGCCGACGCCTTCTGTGCAGCACTGCGCCCGTTGCTCAACAGGCGCCGATCCTCTCGCCGAACCGGCGGCGGCCGGGTCAGCCCCTGCAACCGCATCGGGCTTCGGCCGCTTGTGCCCGGGCTCGTACCGCCGCGATGGACCGTCGGCGGGATTGAGCTCAGACGGCACCCAACGAACATGGCAACGGATGTTGAGGGCCAGGGAAAGGGCGCACCACCTTCGACAGCAGATGTTCATCTGGAAATCCGAGGCCCTCCCCTTGCAGAACGCCAAGATCTGGCCCATGTTATCCCCCAAGAAGACGACATGACGACCACCGATACCAGGGCGCTTTGCGAGCCGACGAAGGGCCCAGATCATCCCCTTCGCCTCCAGAATGTGAATGGCTTCCCTACGGCAGAACCTTCCAGCGTATACAAACTTCCAGGGGGCCTCGTGGATCCAGTCGGGGCTGATGTCGGGGAACTTGGGGTCCTCCTCCCAGTACTCGTTCGGGTCATTCGTCCCCTTAGGGACGTACACGGTGAACTTGTCCTCCAGGGCATCTCGAGAACCTGCAAGAGCGTGTGCACGATGAGCCATATCTTGACGGACCCGAAAACGCATACGCTCGTCGACCCTCCCAACCTGCTTCACATTTTTGTCACTCCAAGAGCTCTCGACAACTCCCCATCCTGTAGGGCAGGCGTCCGTCGCCACCACCTCGCCATGCCAGGGCAATCTCCACTGAGCAAAGGCAAAGGGTAACAGGGCTCGCGCTGCACTAAGCTCGGCCCGCACAGAGGGCCAGAGGTCGACCTGCTCTCCACCAGCGCTGCGAATGACCTGGTAGGTCGCAGACAAAACCGACAACAGGGGGCGACGGAGCATGAAAATGAACGTCAGGTGGCCAACGGTTGACTCCAGCTGGTGCCCCGAGGCAACTCCACGGTCCAGCAGCCAAGTCAGCAGGCTGTCGACTTTCCACATCCTCTTGAGCGACGTGGACACCATGCCCTTGCCGCCATCGATTGCCACGCCCAGCACTTCCGACTGAGTCTGGGCCTCGACGCGCTCGTGAGTGGACAGCCCCACGTCGTCCAATCGCTCGCAAGCACAATCCTTCATCGTCTGCACCTCCTCAGGCTGACCACCAAGGAACCCCACGTTGTCCACGTAGACATAGTGGAGAGGCTGCCCACCTGAGGTAATCAGGCGCGAGCCGCCAAACGTCTGCAGGCGCCGATCGGCGGTCGCGCCCGTGGCATCCTCCACCTGCTTGGTGACCGCCTCCTGCACGAGGTAGAGTGACCACTTGAACCCCATGGGGAGCACCGCGAAGCAGGGGTGCACCCAGCGGTCTGGCGACAGCCACTCCCCCTCAGCCTCGTGGAGGTGGAGCTCCTCCGCTCGAAGCGGCGGAAGCCCGAAGTAGCGGCTGAGCTCCACATCGATCTTGAAGCGGTAGAACGCGTCCCGCACGTCGCCTGTGCTGATGAACACCTCCGTGTCGTCGTCGACCTCGATGAGCCCTAGCGACTCGGCGGTGGCCAGCTCCACTCCGGGGGGGTCGCGAAAGCGGCGATTGCTGCGGCGAGCGTCGACCACTAGCCGCTGCATCCCCGACTTCTTCTTCACGCAGAACACGGTGGCGCGCTCCTTGACAGCGGTGCACCACCGCAACACACCAATTGACTCCAGCCGACGGACAAACTTGATGTAGGCCTGTCGATCCCCCGACAAGTTTCGGTCCATGTAGGGTGTGACCGGCTCCGAGTTGTCCTCCAGCTCCCAAAATTCGATGTCAGGCCTGACCATACGTTCTTCAAAATCTACCAGCATTGATGCAGCCTCAGCTGGCACCACATCGACCGCGTAGGGACAGTCCTTGCACGACGCGGGTACCGACAACAGCTCTTCCTGGTAGTCGCTCACAATGTGCTCATCCGAGTCGTACCCGGCTCGGGAACGCAGAAGCGCGCGTGCGGCTTCATGCGGACGAGGTACAGCATCAACAGCCTGAGAGCGCTCCATCACGCCCTTGATGTGCTGGACGGCCTCGGCCTGCGCCGGCGAGCATATCCCCTCGGGGGCCGCCCCACCGCACCCGCTCAGCCAGTTCAGGGTTGAAATGGCATCATTGGCACGACGAGTGATGGCCTGACGACGAGCGACTCGCTGACACACGCCTCGGCTGAGACCAGGACGGCGAGGCCCCTCCTCTGCCAGCGGCGGCAAAGGGAAGACCTCAGGCTGCATCTTGAAAAAGAAGGTGAAGCTCAAGTAGGCGCCGAACGCGAGCCTGAGCTGAAACGCTGCGCCCGAAAGCGCTGCCCCTCTGAGGTAGAAGCGACTAGCAGCGGGGTCCCTGCCAGTCGCCGTCGCACAGCTAAGCGTCTGCCGCGCCTCCAGCCCCCTTCTTGGCGGCTGCCTTTGCCTTCGGGTTGGCGGTGGCTGCACGCACTTCTTGGGCCTTCTGGCGCTGCTTCTCAATCTCGGCTTTCTCTTTGGCACGGGTGGCCACGTGAGCGGTGAGGGCTGGGGCGATCCCCGCCGTCCGCTGCTGATGGCCTGACCACAGTTCCTCATCCTCAAAGCGCCCCTCTCCTGGACCACGACTGGCCGCGTCCAACAGCAGCTGCATCCTCCTCGCCAGCACCTCGAACGCGGCCAGCGACGCGAGGTTGAGCTGATCGTAGCACCCGGCGTGCTCCAGCAGGCGGCACATCGCCTGGAGCTCGTACGCGAGGCGGTCCGAAGCGGCGATGCGGTTCTCGACGAGATACTTGTGATACCACTGCATCGGGGAGCCTCCAGTCCTCTCAATGTTCTTCGCCATCCACAGCATGGTGCGCGGGCCCTCGACGGGCCAGTCCTCATAGAAGCTCTCGTGCATCTTGGCGACGGCATCCTTCCACGAGCGGAACCTCTCGCCCTGCTCGTCGTACTGCACGGACAGGGTCCTGGCGTCGTCAAGGTCCAGCTCAGGCGGCGCGCTCGCAGGGCCAGGCAGAGGAGGCACAGGTGCCGCAGGCCCGTCGCGGGCCATGAGCGCGGCAATGTCCTTCCAGCGCCTGGCCCCAAAGCCAGGCACGTCGTCCACGTGGAGGCGGTAGAGCACCACGACGTCCTCGGCGGTCCGACCCGCGGCAGGGGTCGCGGCGACGCTCACCAGCATCCGATCCCCCAGCCTGCGAGCGTCCTTCTCGGCAAGGATCGTCGCGACGGTGAACTCGGTGCCGAGAGGGAACGAGGAGCTCGGCTCGCCAACGACCCAGCGGTAGTCCTTCTCGTCCTCCACGATGGCGGTCGCCTCGGCGGCGACAGCCTCCTCTCGGGGTGGAGAGGTCTGGGTGCCCCCCTTGTCGTCGTCCTCGTCCTCGGGCGCATCCAGCACAATCGGTGGCGCCTTACCCCGCCCGCGGCGGGCAGGAGCACCTCCCAGCCGCCAGAAGTCCTCCAGCGCCAGCACGCGCCCGTCCCACTGCTGCGTGTGGAGCGGCGCGGGCAGTGGCACCTCGCCAGCGGCGAGCGCCTGGCGCGCCAAGTGCCGAGCCTCGATCACCTTCTCGCGGAGCTCCCGGGCGCCGATCTCACGTCGGAACCGGTACCTCGGCGAGGCCACGTGCCGAGGAACCCCGCCACCAGGTGCCAGCACGATGAACTCCTCGATGTCAGGGCCTGACAGACATTCAGGCATCTGGTCGCCGTCAGGGGACTCCGTGATCCACTCCTCGAAGCTCACCGGCCACAGGCACACGCGCTCGTGCAGGAGGTCCTCCCCGGCGTCCATGTAGCGCACCAGGATCCTACTGCCCGGCATCAGCCCTCTCAATGACGCCGCCACCCCGGAGGGCAGGGCGCCTGATCCTGCTGCCACCAGCATCCTGACGGGCTCCGCGTCGCGCGCCGGCACAGAAGCCGCCGACCGCCGCCACCACCACGTTGAACACGACGGCCGCGATGAGCAGCGCCCACGGCGGCCCCTCCGGGCAGCTCAGCGTCGGGCACGCCGGGCAGACCGCCTCCGGACACGTCACCTCCGGGCAGGTCAGGTTGGGACAGGCAGGGCCGGGCGGACAGGGCGGTGGGAGCGGGCAGGGCTCTGACTGACCGCCGGTCGAGGTCCAACTGGCCACCACGCCGGCCACCGCACCGCGGCCTATCTCCCGCGCCCCCGACTGGAGGAGGTCGCTCAGATAGTCTGGGAGCACCATCCAAGGTGCGACGCCTCAAAAACTTTGAGCAAAAATGGGCCGCGGTCGCTTCCCACTCTCGCAGTTTCCACCCGCCCTCATTCCAGTCAAAGACAGTGCCATACAGGTTAAAACATGTTCAACACATTTTTAGACATCTGGAAATGATTTGGCAGCATGCTTCCTCTCCATACATCGACTTCCACAAGCGCCAAGCCCGGATGGACACGAGCAGGGACAAGAGCAGGTGCACGCCCCGAGGGGCGGCCCTCGCAGAGCTCGGCGGGGGCGCTGGAGCGCAGCAACTCACAGGTCGTAACACGTGATTGCTTCACGACCCAGAATCACGGCCCTCGTGCCAGGCACCGCCGAGGACGCGGCTTCCCCCACCTCCTCCTCCTCCTCCTCCTCCTCCTCCTCGTCCTGCTCCTCCTCCTCCTCCTCCTCCTCCTCCTCCTCCTCCTCCTCCTCCTCCTCCTCCACCTCCTCCTGCTCCGACCCAGGATCTGCAGCATTGGCTCCGCTGGGTGCCAGCCACCATCTAGCAGCGTGGCCACCACCGCTCGAAGAGGCCCTCTAACCCCAGTCAACCTGCGGACGCCGAGCTCGAGGATGCGTGATCGGATCTTCCGCCAAGCTTGAACAACCCTGCCGTGCATGTCCGGGGGGCCTCTGCCACGATGGGAGGATGAGGCGGAGGAGGAAGAGGAGGAGGAGGAGAAGGAGGGGGAGGGGGAGGAGCAGGGAGAGGCGTGGGGGGGAGGGGGGGGGAGGAGGACGGGGCGAGGGGGAGGAAGGGGATGGGGAAGGAGGAGGAGGGCGAGGAGGAGGAGGAGGAGGAGGAGGAAGAGGAGGAGGCAGGAGAGGAGGAGGAGGAGGAAAACGGGGACGAGAGGGGAGGAGGAGCGGAAAAGGAGGAGGCAGGGGAGGGGGAAGAGGAGGAAGAGGGGCAGGGACGATCTCCCCCCCCCCCCCAGCGTCGGCCGCCGGGGTGCCACGCCTGGTCCCGCACCTGCCTGTGCAGCGATGCCCAGTAGTCCACGGACTGCGGGTCCAGCAGGTTCGAGGCCTGGGCACGTGTTTTCTTTTGTTGCGGGCCACCACGGGGTGGTGGGGGATCCCTCCGTCCTTGATCCCTCCTCCTGCTCCTCCTCCCCCTCCTCCTCCTCTTCTCCTCCTTTTCCCCCCTCCTGCGCCCTCCTCCTCCCCCCTCCTCCCCCCTCCTCCTCCCTCCTCGCCCTCCCTCCTGCTCCCCACTCTCTTCCCACCCTCCTCCACTCGGGGGGAGGGGGGGCAAGCATCGGAGCTCGAGGCTCCAGGCCCGTGAGCGTTGCTCCTTGCTCACCCTTCCTGGGGGGGGGGCCCTCGGGAGATTCCCTCGTCGTCAGCGTCGCAGCGCGCGAGAGGTGCGTCTTGAAAGGCCGCGGTCCCCGCGAGGAGGAGGAGGCGGAGGAAGACGTGCCATCCTCCTCCCCCTCCGCCTCCTCCGCCTCCTCCCCCTCCGCCCCCTCCTCCTCCTCCTCCTCCGCCTCCTCCTCCTCCGCCTCCTCCGCTCCCTCCTCCTCCTCCTCCTCCTCCTCCTCCTCCTCCTCCTCCTCCTCCTCCACAATTACTCAATATGAATACTCCTCTCCCTCTTCCCCTGATGACGGCTTGAAAGTGTCCGACCCCCCCCGCGTATTGATTTTTTACACAGGTTTCCCCGGAAATGGGTTTTCGCCTGCATTTGTTTCCAAAATGCTGCTCTCGCTGAGGCGCCGGCCTCATTTTCGGGCCCCGCTCGTTCCGAATCGTGCTCCCGCTGCAGCGCTGGCCTCATTTCCGTGCTTCCGCCCGTGCCGGATCGTGCTCCCGCTGCAGCGCTGGCCTCATTTCCACGCTTCCGCTCGTTTCGACTCGTGCTCTCGCTGCAGCGCTGGCGTCATTTCCCGTGCCATGCCACGGCGTGCAATGCAATGCTAGGTTGATACTACGCTTTGCGGTGCTCTTCTACGCCATGCCATGCCGTGCTCTACAATGCATCGCGTACCCTTTCGGGATCAGTGCCCTGCTCGACATCCAACAGTGCGAGTAGAGAAGGGATCTACGCCATGGTAAGGGATGGGAGGGAGGGGTAGGATGTCAGATATGACGCGAGCGCACCTAGCTTGTCCCACCCCCTCCTCCTCATCCCCTTCCTCCTCCTCCTCCTCCTCCTCCTCCTCCTCCTCCTCCTCCTCCCCCTCCTCCTCCCCCTCCTCCTGCCCCTATAGATCTCCGCCCCTCCTTTCTCCTTCATCCTCCCTCCTCCGACATCATCATCTTTCCCCCTCCTGCTCGTCGCTGTCCTCACCCCTTTCTCCATCATGCTCCCGGCCCCTGCCATTCTCCTCATCCCGCCTCACCCTCCTATGCCCCACTCCTCCTCATTCCTCTGCCAACGCAGCTTGAACGTCCGTGGCGCGTTTGCTCGCTTGCTTGCTTGCTTTCTCGACCACTCTTTATCCCCCGTGGCCTTCATATTTCATCTCATCATCCATCCGCCATCCTCTATGATGCCTCCTCCCTCCTCCTCCTCCTCCTCCTCCTCCTCCTCCTCCTCCTCCTCCTCCTCCTCCTCCTCCTGCCCCTCCTCCCGCTCCTCCTCCTCCTCCTGCCCCTCCTCCTCCTCCTCCTCCTCCTCCTGCACCCCCTGCACCCTCCTCATCCTCCCCTCGTCGCCTCCAATCTCGGTTCGTCCTCCTCTTCTCCCTTTCTCTCATCCCTTCCCCTCCTCGGCATGCTCCATCATCTACCTTTGTCTTGTCATGGTCCCGACCCCCGACACTGGTTGTCAGACATGATGTTCAACCTGGCTCAGTCTCTCTCTCCCTCTTCATGCTCCCTCCTCGTCCTCCCCTTTCCCCCCCTCCTACCCTCGATTCCCCCTTCCTCCTCACTCCCTCCCTCCTCTCTTCCGAGCGCCCCCAGCGGGCGCGCTGGCGAGTGGGTGATGATGTGCAGTGGGTGATTCGAGTGGGTGGTGCAGATGGTCCTTTCTGGCGCGGTTGGTGTGCAATGGGTGATATTATGTGAGCCATTGCCCGATTGCTGGCACCGTGTGTGCGCATCTGGCGCGGTTGGTCTCCAGCAGGGCAGTTTCTGGTGCGGCTGGTCACCCGTACACGGAGCTCAAGCTTCTTCCCTGAGGCGTTTGAAGGATGAGACGCACTATTGGTGGCCGGCTGGGCCCTCCCTCACTCCCTTTCCAGAGGCCCCCCCAATGAGGCGTCGATGTATCGGCGATGCATCGGTCACCACGTCGGCGTAGAGAAAATCGGGCTCCACATCGACCCGCACCGCCGATGCATCGGCGATGCGGCGCGAGCCTCCGACCCCATCTGGGAGGCCTGCAGGAGGCCAGCCTGGCCAGCGTTGTCCCCCCAGACCTGTCTCTGGCGGTCCAAGGAACTGGAGTCGGAGGATCGCGCCGCTAAATCTGAAATCTGACGCGAACTCCCGCCGCAGGCATCCAACGAAAACTAGACCGTCAAAATCTGGGACGCGCTCGTCAAAAAGCGCTGGCAAACCGAGTTCGGGCTCACTCGAGTCTTACGTTTCCCCGACAATACAGCGCCCATGCATCGCCGATGCATCGGCGATGCGGCGCGAGCATCCGACCCCATCTGGGAGGCCTGGAGGAGGCCAACCTGGCCAGCCTGTCACCCAAATCCTGTCCCTGGCGGTCCAAGGAACTGGGACGGAAGATCGCGCCGCATCGGCGATGCAGCGCCGATGCAGCGCCGATGTATCGGCCATGTCGGCGTAGAGAATATTGGGCCCCACGTCGATCCGCACCGCCGATGCGTCGGCGATGCGGCGCGATCATCCGACTCCATCTGCTCGGACCTCATCTCGGCGGCTTAAAATATTTCTTTGGACGCCCGAAACCCAGACATGCGACGTCCTGATGTTTTCAATACGCGGTCCCCAACATCCCGACCATTTTCCCCGGGACTGGTTTTCCATCCTGCATCGTTTGTTGACGGTCCGGTGGCTCAGCGAGGGCCCCCGGAGCTTGAATATGGCCCAACACTTCCCGTCGTGATTTTTTGAGACGTGATCATGTTTGGGAAGGTGTACAGAGCAAATGGGTACGATGCCCAACGACAAGCGTTGTTCAAATCCGACAGCGGCGGCTCTTGGGCACTTGACTCGCAAGTATGGCGCTCTCAAGCCCGTGCCTTTGTTTCAGTGGCTCTGTCTAGCTCTCGGCCTCCGAGGCCTCTTCAGGACAGCCCTTGACTGAAATGGCTAAGGAATGATGTCCGCACGTGCACATGCGACACACTGCTGACTGCAGTGCTGCGCGATAGGCGAGTCGCTGCACCTGCAGATGACGATCAGCGGCCCCCCACGGCCCGGCGCGGCGCGGCCTCATGGTTCATGTAGTGGCCGGGGTGCTCGACTATCCTCGGGGCAAGCGTGGTCGGACCACGCCCGAGGGCGCCCCTGGCCCAAGGTGCCCCCAGCTGCAGATGTGTCGCTCCGCTTCGGCGCCTCGGGGGCCCCCTGGGCCTCGTGAGGGGTGCACAGATGGTCGTACAGGATGGTCTAGGCGTGCTCGGTCTGCGCACGCAATCTTCTAGGTCCCGCCTCCCCCCCCCCCCTCCATCTCGGGGGGGTGCTGGAGGTGTCCCTGGCCCGAGGTGCCCCCAGCCCTTCGCTCAGCTTTGGGGCCGCTGGGGCCCGCTGGGGGATGTTCGTCTTCCGCTCCATCTCCCATATTTTCCCATATTTTCCCGGGAATCGACGAATCATTGTGTCTGCGTTTTTTTTCCTCTCGACTTGGACCTCCTGGGGGCACTTCTAGCAACACCCGACCAGCGGCCAGGCCCACGGCGACGCCTCCACCTGGGACCCTTGCGCAGGCGCGCCGCGCAAGCCCCCCCCCACCCCTGCCGATTGTTACCTCCGCCGGCGGAGCCGCCCTCGTTCTACTTCCGCCAGCTGAGGCCGCCTTCTGCCGAGAGAGAGGTGCCGACTCATTCGGTCCTCGAAGACGCGGCCCGTTCTGGAACCCCTCAGATGTATGCTGTCGCGCGTAGACAGCATGCATGTGTGCTGCGAGACACTACAAAAACTGGGGGAACCGGCATGCACCCATACCGCTTCTCCCCGGATCTCTCCTGGGGTGCGTTCTGACCAGACCTTCGAGGCCCATCCAGCGGTGGCGACGAGGGCCTCCCAGGACGCCCGACGAGGCGAAAGCGGGGGACGGCTGGGGCTGCTGGGGCACCTCGTCCTCCCCCGAAGAGGTGCACGTGTGGGCCCGCGGGGCGGCGCAGTGGACGCCGTCGTGGCCGCGCAATGGACGCCGTCGTGGCCGCGCCGCCGTGGCGGGGGCGGCTCCTGAGGGTGGCCGCGCAGTGGACGCCGTCGTCGCGCGCGCTGGGCCCCGCCTGGGGCAGCCGACCACGCGCGGCTGCGGGGCCGCGGGAGAGGGGGGGGGGGGGGGCAGGGAGCACGGAGGACAGAGCACGGAGGAGGAGGGGAGGAGGAGGGGAAGGGGAGGGGGAGGGGAGGAGATGGAGGGGAGGGAGGAGGAGGAGGAGGGAGGAAGAGGAGGAGGAGGAGGAGGAGGAGGAAAGGAGGAGGGAGGGAGGCGGAGGAAGGAGAGGAGGAGAGGAGGAGGAGGGATGGAGGAGGAAGGAGGAGGGGGGGGGGGAGGAGGAGGAGGCGGAGGGAGGAGGAGAAGGAGGAGGAGCAGGGGTGGGCGTGGGGTCCAAGGAGGAGGAGGACGACGACGAGGAGGGAGGAGGGAGGAGCAGGAGGAGGCGAAGGAGGAGGAGGCGGACAGAGGGGGGGCTCCGAGGACAAAGGAGGACAAGGTGGGTGTGGGGGGGCGCGGGGTACAGCGAGGGCGGAGGCGGATGCCAGAGGAGGACGAGGAAGGCGGAGGGGGAAGACGAGAGGGATGAGGACGGAGGAGGAGGACCGTCCCAAGAGGCCCAAAGCATTGAAGCGCATCCTTGTTTATGTACTCGTTTGACATACTCAGAATCCCAAGAGGCCCAAAGCATTGAAGCGCATCCTTGTTTATGTACTCGTTTGACATACTCAGAATTGGGGTCCTCAGAACGCCGAAGACGGCCCAAGAGGCCCCCAAAACAACCCACCGACGTCACCGAAGCCCCCAGACAATGCCGAAGAGGACCCCAAGACGGCCCAATGAGGGGCATCACAGGGGGAATTCGGTCCCATACCCCCAAGATGACCATCGAGCCCGCCAAGGGGCCCTCCAAAGCTCCAGATGCCCCCCAGCACCCCCCACGAGGCCCCAAAAAACCTCCTCCAACAGGCCACCAAAAGACCCGCAAGGCGCTCCCGAAAGGCCTCCCAAAAAACCTCAAGAGGCATCTAAGAGGTCCCTGTAGCCACGACCACGGCACGGCGGCGGAATGGGCCGAATGCCCCTGGAACCTTTCACAAAGGACGCCCTTGGGCGCGTCTGGAGTTTGTCGCGTATGGCTTCAACATGATGGGTGATGTTGGCCTCGAGCGCGACCCGTTTCAATGCGCTTGAATATTCGGACAAAGGGGACGCTGTGCACCAAACGAGATGCGCCAACATTGCAGAGTGTAGAACGAACACCTGTGAACATCGGAGCGCTAGACCTGCAACGGTTGCCGGCAGGGAGGTCGCATGTTGGCGGAGTAGTACTGGGCAAGTGTGATATCAAACGACGTCTACATGCACATGAATACGTAACGCAAATGAGCATTACGATCAAGCGCCGTCCTTCCTAAGCACGTTGCCTCAAATATGTCCAAGTTGTCCGGTAGGGCTTTGGAGGCCCATTAGGGCCCTGCGTAGAAAACAATGTGATAGGACCAACGTTGTTTGTTGAGTGGTCTTGTCGCCTTCGTGCACGACACATTGAATCGTGGTGTGGGCCTCGCCATGAGATTCGAAATGTCCATTCGTGTTCCGCCACGCTGCATGATTTTCACGGGCCCATCTCTCTCCAATTTCGTTGACGTTGGATCGAATACCCAATCGGTGATTTGCAAATGAGCCATCAAAGTTTGAACTCTGCGGGTGAACATCGGAAACCGATCAAGCATGCGGTTGCGTACCATTAAACTCGGCGCTACATGCCAGCGACGAGATTTTGCCGCCAACCTGAATGGCATATGCACGGAGCGAGCAGCCTTCTGTATTGCAGCCCTGGAGTTGGCTCAGCAACCACGCCACGGATCGTAATCGACACACCAGCTGAACCCTCAAGGTAGGTCCACATCGTGTCACACAAAGAGGGGGTCCGCAACTCATGCACGAAAGACTGGCCAGCGAACCTGGCTAATAGGTCGTCGGCAGCAGCGTTCCCAACGGCAGCGCAAACGCTACCGATTGTGGCGCAAAGCTGGGCGTCAATCCAACAGCAAGCACGTGAAAAGGCTGCCTCAAGCAAGTGGCTTGTGCAAAGTTGCCTCTGTAGGGGCCGCGACTTATGGCCTGGGGAAGACTGTCCAACAAATAATCGAAACGACCGCCCCAAAACCCGCCCAGGGGGCCGTGGCCGACGCTCGGACGCACTCCAGGACACTCTGCCCAGTATGATGCCTTTCTTGAGTTGCGTCTTGCTTCGAATGCTGCGCTCGGCCCGCTCATAGAAGAATCGCCCGACGCAGCGGCCAGCGCTGCGATGCCCGCGACGTCAACCTGCCCCCCGCGGAAACGCCGCGCACAAAGCCATGCCAATTGATTCGCCCCCCACATCGGCCCCGCCCCCCCCCGCGCGCGGCTCCAAACCCCCGATGCCGGTGATCGCGGACCGCCAGCGCCGACCCGTAATCGCACTCAGGAATCCAGCCATGGCGGCGAGCCCATGGGACGTGGCTTACCCGCGGGAACGGGGCGGAGATGTTTCGTAGATGTTTCGTAGATGTTTTTGGCGTGCGTCGAGGTTTCGTAGATGTTTCGTAGATGTTTTTGTGGGCGCAGATGTTTCGTAGATGGTTCGTAGATGTTTCTAAATGTTTTGCCGGCGAGGTTCGCCCCGCGAGCGGATTCGGGCTCGCGCGACCACCTCGCTGGCGCATTGTAATTTACAGCACTTCAGGCGAGGTTCGGCCCGTGAGCGGAATCGGGCTCGCGCGACTACGGCAGCAGATGCCGTCGCGTCGTTTTCGACCCCCTGGAAATGCACCAGAGATGTTTCTTAGATGTTTTGTATATGTTTCGTAGATGTTTCTGCGTGCGTAGATGTTTCGTAGATGATTCGTAGATGTTTCGTTCATGTTTGGGTGACTGGGGCTCGTGGGCAGGCGGGGTTCGAGCGCTCTGACCCCCCCCGAGGGCTTCTGAGTTCCTCCCACAGAGTTCCAAGAGGCCCTTTTGAGAGCCCTCACAAGACGTATGATATCGTTTGGGCCGAGCCCTTTCGATGCGTGGTGGCGCCATGCCAATTGATTCCATTGAACAGAGCAGCCCGCAATGACAACAACACAGAGAGAGCCCACTTCACGGCCCGCCACGCAAAATCAAACCACCAAACCACGCGATCCGCCCAAACCAATAGCAAAACAACTGAGCTGACGGAGCGGCGCCAAAATCGCTTCCCAGTCGAAGCCAACCAAATAAAACCTGGACAGCCCACTACTCGCGGCCTCTACAGTTGCCTCTGTGCGATCTGCCTGCCAGGCGAGCGCGACACGCGTCGCGCTTTCCGCCGCCGCGCCACGTAAGCCTGGAGAAAGGAGAAGCAGCGGCAGAGGATGGGGCAGACACGTCTGGAAGAAAGGGAAGGGCACCGATACAAAAAAAGGACACGTAGCAGACGAGCGCACGAACCCGACGAGTGCGCAGAGGAGATCAGAAAAGAAAAGGGCAAACCTTCCTACTCCCACTGACCGGCTGAGCTGATAGGGAGACGTAACTGACTCGACGGGGGCGGGGTAACAACTACCTGTCTCGTGGGATTGCCATTGGTTCTGCTAATCCGGCACTCCGCTCCCGCAAGCCACTCCTCATCTGTTTCCTTCTCCTCCTCCTCCACCTCCTCGACCTCCTCCTCCTCCTCCTCGTCATCTTCCTCGTCCTCCCCTCTCCAACCTTCTACGTGCCCTTCCCTCTCTCCTCCTCCGCCGCCTCCTCCGCCTTCTCCTCCTCTTCCTCCGCCTCTTCCTCCTTCTCGTCCTCCTCCTCCTCGTCCTCCTCTTCGTCCTCCTCCTCATCCCCCCCTCCTCCTCCTCCTCCTCCTCCTCCTCCTCCTCTCCTCCTCCCTCCTCCTCCTCTCCTCCTCTCTCTCCTCCTCCCTGTCTCCTCCCTCCCTCCTGCTCCCTCTTCCCTTGGCCCCCGACCCGTTTCTCGCTACTCGTCTTCGAACTACAACTCCTTCCCCCTCCCCCCATCCTTCCTTCCCCCTTCCTGCGTCTCCCCCTCAAGCCTTTATCCCACCCCATGGGATCATGAGTGCGCAAGCCATGTCAGTGTCGGTGGCGGTCCCCTTGTGCTGGAATCCCGCCCCAGGACCGTCAGCAGGAGCCACCTCGTCGAGAAGCGCGCGCGCCCCCTCCCTCTTGCCCCCCCCCGCCCCGGGTGAGGACCGTCTTTAGGCCTCACCCGTGCGGACCGTCAATAGGCTCCACACCCCGCGCAGCTTCCATCATAGGGGCTGCGTGGGTCCACCGGAGGGGGCCGAGGACCTCCCTGCAGCCCCTCGGCCAACGAAGGCGGCTGCAGGGAGAGGTCCAACGTACCTCCACACCTTGTCACCTTCACATTATGGAGTCAATTGCCACCCGCTCGATGTTCCTCCTCCTCCTCCTCCTCCTCCTCCCTCCCTCCTCCTCCTCCTCCTCCTCCTCCTCCTCCTCCTTCCTCCTCCTCCTCCTCCTCCTCTCCTCCTCCTCCTCCTCCTCCTGCCCTCCTCCTCCTCCCTCCTCCTCCCCCCTCCTTCCTCCCCCTCACCGCCTCCTCTTTCCCCTCCCTCCCCTCCCTCCTCCCTCCTCCCTCCTCCCTCGCCCCTCCTCCTCCTCATCCCTCCTCCCTCCTCCCTCCTCCGCCTCCTCCTCCCTCGCCCCTCGTCCCACCCTCCTCCTCCCTCCCACCCCCCCTCCTCCTCCCCTCCCTCCTCCCCCTCTCCTTCTCTCTCCCTCCACCCTCCTCCCTCCTCCCTCCTTCCTCCCCCCTCCCCCTCCTCCCTCCTCCCTCCTTCCTGACTGATCCTCCGTCCTCCTCCCTCTTTCAACCCTCGTCCCCCGTCCCCTTACCTCCTCGTCCTCGGTTTCGTCCTCATCCTCCTCGTCCTCCTCATCCTCCTCGTCCTCCGCGTCTTCTTCGTCCTCCTCGTCCACCTCGTCCTCCTCGTCTTCCTCGTCCTCCTCCTTCTCTTCGTCCTCTTCGTCTGCCTCGTCCTCCTCATCCTCCTCGTCCTCCTCGTCCCCCTCGTATTCCTCGTCCTCCTCGTCCTCCTCGTCCTCCTCGTCCTCCCCGTCCTCCACGTCCTCCTCTCCCTCCTCGTCCTCATTGTCCTCCCTTCTCCTCCTCCTCCTCTTCCTCCTCCTCCTCCCTACCTCCCTTTCCTCCTCCTTCTCCTCCTCCTCCTTCTCCTCCTCCTTCTCCTCTTCCTCCTCCTCCTCCTCCTCCCTCCTCCGTACTCCCTCCTCCCTACTCCTGCTCCTCCTCCTCCTCGTACTCCCCGTCCAAATTGTCCTCCTCGTCCTCCGCCTCCTCGTCCTCCCCGTCCTCCGCGTCTTCCTCGTCCTCCGCCTCCTCGTCCTCCCCGTCCTCCGCGTCTTCCTCGTCCCCCTCGTATTCCTCGTCCTCGTCCCCCTTAGCCTCCTCGTCCTTCTCCTCCACCTCCTCCTCCTCCCTGCCTCATCCTCCTCTTTCTCCGACTCCTTCTCCGTCTCCTCCTCCTCCTCCTCCTCCTCCTTCTTCTTCTTGTTCGTATTATTCCTCGTATTCCGATTCTCCATATTATGCTTTTCCCTCCTCCTCCTCCTCCTCCTCCTTCTCCTCCTCCTCCTCCTCCTCATCATCATCATCATCATCGTCCTCTTCCTTCCCTTGTCCTCCTCCTCCTCTTCCACCTTATCGTTATCCTTCTCCTTCTCCTCCTCCTCCCACTTGTCCTCCCCGTCTTCCTCGTCCTCCTCTTCCTCCTCTTCCTCCCCGTTCTCCTCCTCCTCCTCCTCCTCCTCCTCCTCCTCCTCCTCCTCCTCAGCCGCCTCGGCCCAGGTCGGGGCATCGGCGCGCGCGGTTCGAAGCGGCTCGCGCGTCGAAGCCCCTGTGACCCGCTCCCGCACTTTCCTGTCTACGGCATGCCCGGGCAAGGCAGACGGGGTGCCACACGAGCCGGGAGTGCGTGGGGCAGTGGGATCGGAAAACGGAACATCGGGAGGCCTGGTGGCCGCGGAGCTTCGCGGACGCGCGGGCCACACTCAGAGCCGACCTGCGCCAGCAGGCAGCAGAGCTCCAGGCGGGGCTGGAGAGGAGCCGCGCCAGGCCAGCCGCAGAGAGCAGGTGCGGGCAGCGGTGGAGGCAGCGCCAGCGGCGCGGCGGGATCCCCCCGGGGAGCCGACGCCGACGCAGCGGCAGGAGCCGCAGCCAAGCCTGCCTGCGCCGAAGGAGGAGGAGGAGGAGGAGGAGGAGGAGGAGGAGGAGGGGGAGGAGGAGGAGGAGGGGGAGGAGAGGAGGAGGAGGAGGAGGAGGAGGGGGGGTGGGAAAGGGGGAGTGGGAGGAGGAGGAGGAGGAGGAGGGGAGGAGGAGGAGGAGGAGGAGGGAGGAGGAGGAGGAGAGAGGAGGAGGAGTAGAGGAGGAGGAGGAGGAGGAGGAGGAGGAGAGAGGAGGAGGAGGAGGTCGAGGAGGAGGAGGAGGAGGAGGAGGAGGAGGAGGAGGAGGAGTTGGACTTTTCCGGGGGAAGACGACGAGCCCTTCGCGAGGCAGCTCTCCGACCTCTCGGGCGCATCCCCGATCGGCGGCGAAGGGCAGCCAGTCCGGGACGCGCAGCCGCAGCCCGCGGCGCTCGGACAGGGCCTGCCCGGCGGCGGAGAGCTCACCGCCTGGTGGCGAGGGCGGCCGCGAGAGCTCACAGAGCCCGCCGCGTCGGGTGGTACTCCAGCGGAAGACCGAGGTGTGAGCGGGGACCGGCCGTCCCAGCATTCCTGTAGTCCTACCACGACAGGTTCTTAGAGCCCCAAGGTGTTCTAAGAACAAAAGCAGTGTTCTTAGACCGCAAACCCGATGTTTTCAAACAAGACAGCCCCAGCCAGAAATGTTCAAAGAACATTTCGTGGAAGCCACAAAAAGGTTCTTAGAACATTGTTTGATAGGACTATCAGCACGCCAGGACGCTTCGCCACTGCTTGAGAGGTGATGGGCCCTGGCAACGCCTCCGGCCGCAGCCAAGGCGCACCGCGCCGGCCAGGGAGCGCGGCGCAGGTAAAACAGGGCTAGGATCGGGATAAATCGCCCCAGAGCGTTCCCGAGCGCTCTCAGAGCGTTCCGGAACGCTCTGGAGCGGCCGCGGCGCCCAATACATCCTCCAAACCCGCCGATTCTCAGAGATTTCGAGTTATCCCGATCCGATTTTGTCCCGATCTTCGCGTCGTTTTAGCAGGGCTCCGGGAGGCCCTCGGGACCCAGAAGCCTCGGGGCCGGCCGCGGAGCCAAGCGCAAGGAGAGGCTCCTCCCGTGGCGCTCCAGGCTCCGCCCCTAGCCGGCCGCCCCGCTCGGCGACGAAGGGCAGCAGCTCTCGGGAGGGGCGCCAGTGGAAGGGCCGAGCTGGGCTGAGTGCACCGATCACGTGGACGCCTAAGGACTTCAACAACCATCGGGTGTTGCTAGAAATGCCCCTGGCCCAAGGTGCCCCCAGCTGTTTGCTCCGTTTTGGAGCCCCTGGGGCCCTCTTGGCCTCGTGAGGGGTGCCCTGGAGGCCGCCTGGGCCACCCCGAGAATCCTGGGGGTACCTTGGGCCAGGAGTACTTCTAGCAACACCCGAAACAAAGATCCCGCCTGGCGGTTTCCGGCGAGGCGGAGCCAGGCGAGCTGCCAGCAGTCCCGCACTTTTCCCGATTCTGAAGTTTGGGGGTTCTGTCGACAGCGTGGGAGAGAAGCTGGCCTCTCTGAAGGCTTCGGTGCACCGCATGTCGGGGAGCAGTGGCAGGGAGATTGGGGCGACCTCCACGCTCAGCTACTCGACAGTGCGAGCTTTTGATCGGCCAGCTCGGCGCAACCACGGAGGACGCCCAGAGCGCGAACTCCAACGAGCCGCAAGCCTATGACGAGCTTGACTCCGCGCTCAAGCTCGGCGGCGCTTCGGCTTCGGAGGGTGGTGCGGCGCGCGAGGCTAGCAGCATCGCCTCGAGTGTGGCCGACAGTCTGGGAGAGGACGCCAACCAAGCCCTTTACGACTCTACGCCGAAATCCTCGGGGAAGGCGGGACCGCCGACCGTTACGACGGCGCGGACCCCCCCGTGGGTGCCCCGGCTAAGCACGACTGCATCGCGGGTGTGGTCGATGGCTTCACTGAAGCCCTGCAGCTCATCCTCGCGGGGCGCGACGAGTCGGCTGTTCTGGACCGCCTGCGCGCGCAGGCCGCCATGCTGAGCGACGCCGCCCCGAAAAGCGGCGGAAAATACCGTAGGGGTCTGCTCGCCGCTTCTTGGCAGAGTTTCCCTCATCCCGGCCTCCCCCCCCCCTACCCCTCCCCTTTCCCCCCCACCCCCCCGACTCCTGCTCGGCCGTGTGGTCGTCTGCTCGGCCGCACTCGGCGCCGCGTGGCAGGCTTCTCGATCGCGCGGTTGACTAACGCCGAGGTCCCGGCGAAGTCTGGTCGACCCACGCGCGGCGTGTCGAGGTTGATGGAGTCCCTCCTGGCACTGCGCACATGTTCCCCCGCCTCTTCTGCCTGGGTGCCTGGCCTGCAGCGCGGAGAGGCGCCGTGGGCGGCAGGCGAGGAGAGCACCTCTCATGCCGCGGAGCCTCCTCCTCCTCCTCCTCCTCCTCGTCCTCGTCCTCCTCCTCCTCCTCCTCCTCTTCCTCCTCCATCATTCGTCCTCCGTCCTCCGTTCTCCTCCCCCCCTCCCCCCATCCCTCCTCCGCCCTCCCCCTCCTTTTTACGTTCGACCAACCTGAGCAACAGAAACTGTGGCGTGAGTGGAAACTGGGAAACATGTAGACGCCCGACTTGGCGCAATTCCTGGCGGGCGCCGCAGGTAAGGAGGAACATGGAAACCCACAGCGCAGCCAGGCACTTGGAGTAGGCGCACGCCCGGTAGGACAGGGAGACAGCAAGGTACCTGAGTATACAATCAAGTATGTATGAGTGCCCGCAACATAAAATGAGCCCTCCTTAAGATCACGGGTGCGGGCTGCCTCGGTAATATCAAGAAGGAGAGGCTGCGGCTAGCATCCGCGCTGTGGCTGGCCAGAGATATTGGCTGGCCAGGAGACTGCACTGTAAGGGCTCGCTTGAGGTATTAGTGCAATGGAAGGCAACCAGCAGCGACGGGGAAGAGGTGAGGGAGCAGGGGTCGTGAGCAACCGAAGGAGAAGAGAACTGCTACCCCGTGTACCCGAGGGGTGCACAGGGTGCCCGCTGTCCTCAACAGTCGGTAGAGTACGGCCCGTGGGGAGGGAGAAGGGGTCCAAGCTAGGTCGCTCGGGTCGGTCAGATGACCTAGGTGAAACATGGGGTAAGGAAGGGAGAGCACATCGAAAAACGATGACGACTGCAGGAGTGGAAGGTAGAACATATCGAGCTGCTAGCGGTGGGTAAGGCTAGCGCAGACAATACTGACTGGCATAGTGGTGGGTAAAGCAAAAGGCAAAACGTCTGGCGATCGACTGCCTATAGTATGGCTGGCATCCCTCGCCTGAGGCTCAGGAGGCCTTAAAGGCGTGTAGTGTCCCTATCCAATCCCCTTCCCACTACACGTCAAAGAACCTCCCACTCCATAGCAAAGTCAGACATACAGCGCTGGGAAATAGGCACAGTGCATTCGCTGCAGGTATCAGCTGGATGACAAGGCTAACGCGGGAGTTGGCTGGCCCGATGAATGATGTAGTTGTCCTAAAGTACGAAGGTGTACAAACACGCGGCGTCGTGTGCCTGCTAGATGGGTGCAAGACAGAGGGGACGAACGTGCAGGGATAGCAGGGGAAAGAGCATAGTGGGACAGAGCAGCAGGTGATGTGAGTATAAGCGGGGGCAAGTCTGGCATACAGCGGCCCACATAAGGACTGTAGCTCCTCCGCTGAGGACCCAAAGGCCCTCTGTGCCAGTATGCTCCCCCGCCCGAACACCACAAGCCTCCCCGCCACGCTGTCCCCAGATCCCAACCCTCCCACTTTGCCGGAGTCAAACAGCACAAGCTTCGTATGCAGAACGTGCCAGCTGCTGGTAGCAGCTGGCTGGTAGAGGCTGGCGCGAGTACTGGCTGGCCTGGTGCTGGAATTATCTAGATGCAAGCAGGAGTGTAAAACAAATGGCTCCAAAGACTGCCTGAGAGGGTGCAAGAGTAGGGCCGATTTGCAGCGGCCGACAGTAGGGCTGTAGCCCCTTGGCTGCAGGCAAAAATGGCCCTGGCGTCTGTGAGACCTCCCCAACCACCACCTGGTCAGATTCCCAAACCTCCATCCCCTGTCAGTCAGGCCTCTCTTGCTGGAAAACGGCAACATGCATTAGCTGCGAGCGACCTAGGGATAGTATGGCTAGCACATGTACTGGCTGGCCTGAGGCTGGCAAGAGGCAAGACAGTGGCAAGTGTGGTTGCCAAAGGAGTGACTGTAAATGTTGGCTGGTCCGTAGAACATATCGGGCTGCTTGCGGTGAGGAAGGCCAGTACAGGTAGCACGGGCTGGCCCGGCGGGCGCATGTAGCAAGGGCAGAGCTCGCTCCCCCTCCTCCTCCACCTGCTCCTCCTCCTCCTCCTCCTGCTCCTGCTCCTGCTCCTGCTCGTGCTCCTGCTCCGCCTCCTCCTCCTCCTCCTCCTCCTCGTCCTCCTCCTCCTCCTCCTCCTCCTCCTCCTCCTCCTCCTCCAGCCTCATCCAACTCCTCCCCTTTCTCTTCCTCCTCCTCCTCCTCCTCCGCCTCCTCCTCCTCCTCCCCTTTCTCTTTCTCCTCCTCCTCCTCCTCCTCCTCCGCCTCCTCCTCCTCTTCCTCCGTCCCTTCTCACCCTCCCCACGCTCCAGCCCTGGGGAGCGGCCCAGGCGGGGGGCAAAGGGGGGGAGGAGCGGCTTCCGCGGCGCGCCTGCGCATGGGCCCAGGAGGAGCCGTCGCCGTGGGCCTGGCTGGTGGCTGGGTGTTGCTAGAAGGGATGTTGCATCCTCGGGGGACCGTGTCTGTCCAATCGCGGCCCCATCCGCGTCGAATCCGTGTCGAATACACGTCGGGCTCGTCGGATCCGTGTCGAGTCCGTGTCGAATCCGCGTCCGATCCAAGGCACATCCGCGCCGAGCCCGCGTCGGGCCCGCGTCGGGCACCGCGGAGAGGCAGCGTCATAGAAGTGCCCCCCCGGGCCCAAGGTGTCCCCAGGATGTCCAAGGCGGCCCACACGGCCTCCAGGGCACCCCGTCACGAGGCTCAGGGGGGCCCCAGCAGCTCCAAAGTTGAGCGAAGGGCTGGGGGCACCCTGGGCCAGTGGCGCGTCTAGCACCCCCCGAGATGGAGGGGGGGAGAGAGAGACGGGACCTAGAAGAGTGCGTGCGCAGGCCGAGCACGCCTCGAACATTCTGTACGACCAGATCGTCGTGCATTGTTTCCCGAGCGGCATGGCCAGAGAGCGCCCGCTGCGGAACTGTTGCTGTAAGACTTTTCGGCGCGCGCGTCGCCCCTGGAAGGCGGCGCACACACAGTATGACAGTGTCCGTGTGGCGCCGACCCCAGGCCTCACAATCAGAACAGGGAACCCCCTGAGGAGCCGCGGAGGCGGCAGGAAGCACCCGGAAGGGCGGGAACCTCCTGAAAAACCGCTGCCTCCGAGTCAGTGGGGTCAGCGAGTTGCGAAACCGTCGCCCCTCTCGTGGGCTCCTGGGGGATCCAGCGTAGTGCGGCCCTGCGCAGACCTGGATAGACCTGGCTGTCCATGTAACCTGCAAACGGCGATACCGTCGCCGAAGGTTCTTGGGGGGTCTAGCGTAGTGCAGCCTTACGAGGACCTGAATGAGACCTCGCCGTCTCTGGAGCCTGCGAACTCCGATGTTGTCGGAATCCAGCCTAATGTGGCCCTACGCCCTACGCCGACTTGAATAAGACCTCGCCGTCCCTGAGGCCTGCGAACTGCGACGATGCCGCTACTTTCGCAGTCTCCTGGGAGGCACAGCGAGAGACGTCCTCACCCCCGCTCGTGGTCAACGTTGTGTCACTGTCCGAAAGTACTGCCCCTCTCAAACCTGTTCCGAACAGTCTGTTCATTTTTTGCTGTCAAAATGGTGATCACGCTTCAGCGTTGGCCTATCTGCAACATCGACGTTTTGCTTTCGTCGTTCAGAATGGCGCTTTCGCCTCAGATTGAGCCACATTTCAGTATACGGTTCATCTTTCATCGTTGCCGCCTCCTCCGTTCCCCTCCTCGACTGTTTTCCCATGGACCTCCTGGTCCTCCCGCTCGTCAACCTCCTGCCCCTGCTGCTGTTGCTCCTCCTCCTCCTCCTCCTTCTCCTCCTCCTCCTACTCGTGCTACGGACGGTAGACTGATAGCACTGAGATGCTGCGGATGTCCTCATGCTCCTCCTCCTCCTCCTCCTCGTTTTCCTCCTCCTCCTCCTCCGCGTCCGCCTCCGCCTCAGCCTCCGCCGCCACCGCCTCCTCCGCCGCCGCCGCCTCCGCCTCCGCCTCCTCCTCCGCCTCCGCCTCTGCCTCCGCCTCCGCCTCCGCCTCCGACTCCACCGCCTCCTCCTCCTCCTCCTCCTCCTCCTCCTCCTCCTTCTCCTCTCTCCTCCTCCTCCTCCTCCTCATCCTCCTCCGCCTCCTCCTCCTCCTTCCTCCTCCTCCCCGTGCTCATGCACCACATCCTCACCCTCCAATGCATACGGCCTCCCTGCCCGACTGCGCATCGCAAAATGATGCAACTCGGGGGGCCCAGATCCGCCAGAACACCCACCGGGGAGTGCAAAGGAGGCCCTCCCACACATAAACCTCATGCGAGAAGCCCGACCCTGCGACCCCAGGACGTCCCTTTGGTGTGAGAACGTCACGCTTCACACAGCAAGTCCATCGAAACCCAAGAAATCGAGGGGACCCTGGAGGCGAGCAGGGTGTCTCTTGGTATGGGTCTCCACTGCATATAGAGATCAGGTCAGCGCAGTGGGGAAGGATCGATTGCATAAACTTTGTCCGTCGTCGGCGAGGCGGAAGCAGTCCGCTCCAGCGTGGCGAATCCTGGCGACCGACATGCGAATTTGTCTAGCGTGCGAACGGAAGGAACAAGCGGAGAGCGGCCGCGCGGGACGATGGGGGGGGAGGGCTCAGACGTGGAAGAACGACAACTGCATAAGCATAAACTTTCGGAGGCGAGCCGCCCTCCCTGGCGTGCGGAACGAGCCGGGGGCGGCACCCAGAGGCGCCGCCGGGGAATCCTGCGCACATCCAGGAGGCCCCCGCGGATCTCCGAGAACTCGTGCCGATGCCGTGGCTGTTCTTCGAGGTGTGGCGCCCGCGCGCGCACCTAGCTTGCCTCTCCTGCTCTGCTTCCCCCCTCCCCCTCCCCAGCCTGGGGCCCTCCCTGGTGCCGCAGGGGGAGTCAGCACACTGCTATGTCCTCCCCTCGCTTCTCGGACGGCCCACGTCCTGCCCGCCATGTGTCGGCTGGTCTGGAGCACGCTGGGGCCCCCGAAGTAAGGTGTGAGTGCGGCCCGTTGGTTGTTAGAGCGGCCCGGTGGGTGTAAGTATGGCCAGGGATCCTCCGGAGGGTGTCGATCAACGAGTACGGTAAAGGGGGGGGGTCTCCAAAGAGGCTCCTCCCCGGCTTTACCGAAGAGCCTCTCGGAAGAGCCTCTTGGGCTTTCCGCAGTCACCGAAGAGCCTCTCGGAAGAGCCTCTGGCGCTCTCCGAAGTCAGCGAGGAGCCTTTCGGAAGAGCCTCTGGGGCTTTCCGGGGAGCCTCCTGGGCTTTCCGAAGAGCCTCTTCGAGCCGCCGAAGAGCCTCTCCGAGCCGACGAAGAGCCTCTTGGAGCCACCTCCCTCGTTCCCTTAGTAACTTTCACCCAGCGGGCGAAAAATCTTACTGGACGCTAATCACCCTCGCGGACGGTGTTTCGCACTGCCCTTGCCTTTCTGCGTCCCCGGCGTGTGATATTGAGTAATTGTAGGAGGGGGAGGAGCTAGGGGGAGGAGGAGGAGGAGGAGGGAGGGGGGAGGAGGAGGAGGAGGAGGAGGAGGAGGAGGAGGTGGGAGAAGGGAGGAGGAGGTGGAGGAGGAGGGAGGAGGAAGAGGTGGAGCAGGGGGCCCCTGGGGAGGAGGAGGAGGAAAAGGAGGAGGCAGGAGGGCGGAACGAGGACGACCCCCCCAGAGACGAGGGAGGGGATGCAAGGGCGATCCGATCGCCGAGGGCCAGCCGGGGCGGCGGCGGCGGCAGGCGGACGGGCCGGCGTTCCCTCCCTCATCCCTCCCACCCTCCACCCTCCCTCCCTCCCTCCCTCCCCCCTCCGACCCTCCCTCTCTTGAGGTTTCCGGGAGTCACCGGAAGTTCTGGTCTCTCCCTCCTCCCTCCCTCCCTCCTCCCTCCCTCCCTCCCTCCACTCTCCGACCCCCCTCTCCGTTCCTCCCCCTCATTGGGTGCTAGAGTTTCCGGAGATTTCCGGAAGTCTCCGGAGATTCTGGAAGTGCACAGAAACGTCCAAAACCATCGACGGTCGATCCTCCAACCTCCTCGCGATGATTACATTACCTTGCAGAAGAAGCCGCGCAGAAGCGAGCGGCACCAATCTCTCATTCGCCCCGGTGGCCCTTGCCACCTCCACGTCCTCGGCCCAAGAGTTCGCACGACTACTAACGAGGCTGGCGCAGGGTGTCTGCACGGCTGAATTCTAAGGGCTCCTCTTTCCCGTGGGGCCCCTGCTGAAAGTGCAGCCGGCTTCGACCTCACCCTTGCGTGGCGGGGGCGTCCTCCGGAGCCCCGACCGCGGGCGCCGTCTCGGTGGAGGCGGAATCCAAGGACTGGGGGGCCTCGGCCGAGGGGGGCTCCTCCTTCTTAACGACGGTGGAGGACTGGCCGAAGTTTGCGAACAGGCTGGCTGGCGGCGGCGGCGCCGACGCCGACGCTGCGGCGGAACCGGAGCCCGAACCGCCAGCACAGTTCTTCGAGATGGCCTCCTCGATGTTGCAGATGCACTCCAGAACCTTGGACTCCTCCTTCGTGGTGTACCTCTCCATGTGCGTCTTCAGCGTCCTCAGGCGCATAGCTGCGGTCCCGTCCTCGACGCATTGCACGCGCCAACCGAAGATGGGTTCATCCCCAATACCCATCTCGCATACCACGTAGCCCGCGGGGATGAACACCACAGAGTTGGGAGGCACGGTGCCCTTCACGAAGCAACCAGCGTCATGCATCGCGGCCTCGACCTTCACAATCTCTGCCCCGCTAAGCTCCATCTCGAAGAAATCCTCTGCGATGTTGGAGACGGTGTTGGTCTTGCTCACCTCGACGTCGCCACCGTTGAGATTTCCCATGCAATCGTAGACGAACTCGTAAGGCGCGCACACAATCTCACGACTGCCCTTGTACTGGTAGCGGATGTTGCCGACGCAGTGGTGCTCGAAACCAACGGACATCATGTCTACGTTGCAGCCCCACTGGCTCAGTGGTGGGGATTGCTTCATCGCGATGTTGTCGGGGACGAAGGACATCAGCGCTGGCGCCAGCGTGGCAGATACGGTTGGGAGCACTGTGCACTGCACCTTCTTCCGCTGTTTGACTTGCTCTGTTCCTGGCATTTGCGCCATGAAAGTCGTAGTCGAGGTCTTCACGTGAGGCTTCAACGCAAGGCTCAGAAGCTCGTTCGCGTTCAGGACCACGTACGGCTTGGTCTTGTCGAGGGTGTTGTTGCGATGGGCCTCGGTGAGCTCCTCCAAATTTCCGAAGCGGCTCATCTTCTGGCAAAGCTCCACGAGCTGGCGGCCAGCGACGTCGCCCGTGGCGCCCGTGTTTTCCTGCGGCTGGGGTTGCAGAAAAGGCAGAGTCGCCTTCTGAGGCGCAGCGGCCGCCGTCCGCCCAGCCTGCCCGGCGCCGTTCGAACCTGTCCTCGCCCTCTTGCTGGCCGTGGCGGCGGCGGCGTTGTCGGCCTTGGTCTGAGCCCTGGGAGGGTGTAGTAAGAAGCATTTAGTTCAGTTTTCAGCTCTGAATCGGCTCTGAAGTCAGGAAAAAACTCCCCCCCTCCTCCTCCTCCATTTCCTCCTCCTCCTCCCTCCCTCCTTCCCTCTCCCTCCCTCCTCCTCCCTCCTCCTCCCTTTCCGTTTGAACTTCAAAAACATCTGCAAACCTTTGGATGATTGCGAACAACAATCGTTAAACAAGTGTGACCTCCTCTTCTGCGTCCGCGAAGTATCGACGGCCTTGGACAAGGCCTGCACGCCAGTCTTCACACGGTCCACCAGCTCCTTCGACTTTTTCACGGCGTCCATCACCTGAGCCTCGAATACCTTGAGGCTCTCCTCGTTCGCCTCGCAGATGTGGTACTCGGCCATCACCGACAAGATCACGAAGGGCTGGCACTCGTCGAGGTCCTGGACAGGTAGCGTCTCGCCATCACGAATGAATTGCGCCTGGGCTTCCTGCCACTTCAGAAGAACAATGTGAGCAGACTTCATGTTCATCAGCGCGCGGTCTACGACGGCCGGATCCTCGAGAACCTTCTTCGTGGCATTCGCCAGATAGTTCACGATCGTCCGGACGCTCGCTGCCCCCATCCAGCTCCTCACTTCCCGGCGTCCTTCTAGTGTCGCCCCGTCTCCTTGAGCTTCATCCCGCGGATCCCGCGCCTCGTTCAGGATGTCTTTGATGGCATCTGGGACGTTTGACTGATGTTCGGATGAAGTCTTCTTGAGAAAGTCCGCGGCCCTGGCGAGGGACGCGAATGTGCTCGATTCAGCCTTGACCTCCTTCTCGAGGTACGCGTCGTCTGGCTTCAAAGACAACGCCGTCAGGAGCCCCATCCTGGCCTGGGCTGTGGCGAGCTCGTCTTTGAAGTCGTCGGTCTCCGGTCCTGTCATCTTCTCCTTGACCTCCTTGTACTTCGTGCACACATCAGCCTCGAGCTTAGTCGCCACCTGAATAGCTGCGCCCAACTTGCGGCGGATCTTATTCAGGTTAGTTCCGAAATCGAACGTCGCTTTGCGCCGCTTGGCGCCGCCAGGACCAGTGCTGCCGCCAGGATTGTCTGTGGGGGACACCTCGGAAGAAGGAGCACCTGGAGGCCCTGCCAGCGGCGCCACTAGCGGCGCCAGGTCAGCCGCCTCCTCGTCCTCTCCCCATGCTGCCTCAGGCAAGGCCCCGAGCTGGCCATTCGACGGAAAGTGGCGCGTGCCGTCCGGGGCCGACAGCGTCATCCCGGCCGCCACCGCCTTCGCTTGCCCAAACATTGAATCGGCGTCGGCCTCGAGGAACTGCTTCTTGACATTGCCGCTGCGGACAACCTCTGCTCTTTGCTCAATCTCCTTCTCTTTGACTTCGTAATTCTCCATCTCGATGCACATCCACTCGATTTTCTCCCCAGTGACGCGGTCGGTGGTGGTCGACTTGTGCTCTGGCTTGGTATTGCCCGCGACGTATTCCCACTCCAGCTTGCACCGATGCGCCGACCATCCGTACTCGGTTTTGCAGTGGTTGGCAAAACCGAAGAATGTCTTCCAAACTGCCTTTCCTCCAGTCACGTTCCTCTTGATGATAGCATCCTTCCTGAAAAACTGAATGGCGTTGAAAGAAGCAGTTTTTTGGCCCCGCCCTGCTGACTGTTTGACCGTGTGGGCCTGGGTAATCATCTGCAGGAACAGAGGAGAGAGCTCCTGCTTGGCTTTCGTGAACTCCTGCCATTCTTCACCTCTACCTCCTGTTTGCTTTTTCGTCTCGTTGGTGACATTGTTGACGGTTTTCTTGTGCTCGGTGCAGAAGCTGCTCCCCTTCACCTTGACGCAACCGCAACCGATGGCACATAAGTTTTCAGTTGCATTGGCAGGGGCCCTCTGACGGCGAGCGCCAGCCGGCGGTTGAGGTGGCGGAGGCACTCCACGAGCCTCGTCAAGCCCCTCAGGTTCGAACTGGAGCGCCTGCGGAACGTTGTCGCCCATGACGGCAGGCGGCCCGGCCGAAGTTGTGCTGCGTAGTTGGTCGAACAAAAGGACGCTCTCTGAGGGCAGCCCTCAGCAGCGTAACTGGCTGGCTTCTCGAGCTAAAATCCTACGCCGAGACGACGAATCGGACGACCAGTCGGCGCAGTGAGAGAAGGCAAGACCCTTGACCTTCCAATTGAGACCTTCGTGGACGTCGTTTGGCCAGCGCATGGCCAACAAGGCTGAGGATGCAGGGGCAGCCTTGCGGGATCCCTGCATCTTCGTTACAGTTTTCTCCGACCTGCTCCTCCTGATCTTTCCTACCACTCCTTCTCCCTCCCTCCCTCCCCCTCCTCTCTCCAACCTCCAACCCTTCCTCATTCCTATCATCATCCTCTCAGGGTCCCTGGCTGCAGCCATACACAGAGAGCGTTTTTGGGGCTGGCAAAAATGGAAGGAAACAGAAGTAGGAGGAGGAGAGGAGAAGGCGAAGGAGGGGGAGGGGGAGAAGGGTGAGGAGGGGGAGGGGGAGTATCAGGAGGAGGAGCAGGAGGAGGGGGAGGAGGGGGATGATTGGTTGTTGTTTGTTCGCTATCGCTACATCCTGGCACCGGGACCGACTCCACGCACAGCGCTGCACCCCATACTGTGAAAGCTCGGTTGGCCCCGGCGCCGGGCATAAATTTCTGGCCTTGCCAAGGCCCGAAGGCCTGAGGCCATCAGTCTCCGCCCAACCCAGCAGCAGCCAAATCAGGCGTTCCGAATTGAAAACTCTTGCGCAAGGCCTTGGCCGGTTTATCTGGAGTGGCGACGCGCTTGCGGCACGAGGGAGGAGTGCTAAAAACCTCAGGAGTCTCAGGAGTACCCAAAGAAGTCGACTGAAGAGAGTCCTCAGTCTCCTCAAGGTTTGGGTCCTGGTCCGGGCTCAGCTTTTTAGCAAGCTCCTCGAGAATGGCTTCGTCCCCCACCCAGCGGACAGAGCCCAGCACGAAAAGGATGATGTACCCGATCGACGGCTCGTGCATAGCGTTCCCTGCAAGGTCTTTCAGTTCAGCCTCTGCCAAGGTGTCGAGGACATCTTGAAAGGAGCACCTGAAGGGGTGCCCCTCCTTCTGGTTCTCGAACACCGGCTCCCCCATCATGGCGAGGTGTTGCAGACCGCCTGCAATTTCATCGGTCGTCATGTTCACGAGCGTCCCGTGGTGACACAAGCAAGGGAGGAAACAACTCTTGCTCCCAAACTTTGGGCTCTGCTCCACATCAACAATGAAGCTGCCGTCGAAGCCCTGGTACTGTAGCATCTCGGCCTCATAGGCGCGCTTGTGGGTCATCGCATACGGGGGCAGGCATTTGCTCACCGGGATGTGCTGGTGCGGCGCGAAACTGTTGCCTTGAGTTGCGGCCTTCTGCGACATCACCTCCCGAGTGTACTCGCGAGGCGCGTCCCAAACACACTGGGGTGAGGCAACAACTTTACGACCGAACATGCTGAAGAAGTCGTCCCACGAGCGCCCGAGGCAAACAACACCCTTCAGGGTTAGAATGGTGAACTGCCTTGGCCGCAGCATTGGGAAACCAAGATCCACTGGGGACATGACGGCATGCGTGATCCGCGAATGCCAGAGTGGCATGAAAGGAATGTGGCGAATTCAAGGGCTCCCTCGAGGGCGCGAAGTTATTCGCGCTTCGCGCTTCGCCGTCCTCCTTCCTCCTCCCCCTCCTCCTCGTCCTCCTCTTCTCCCCTTTGGGAGGGCGGCGCGAGGGCGCGAAGTTATTCGCGCTTCGCGCTTCGCGCAGCGCGAAGCGCGAACTTAGGAGCCCTTGCGAATTGTTCGCCTTCGAATGAGATAGCGATGGGTGGTGGTCGGCGGAATGGCGCAGCCATACGGATGTCGTAGACGTGCCCGAACTCCTCGTGCAACCAGCGCCGCGTACATGGGTCTGGAGTGATCTCATGAATCACCACATGCGGGCGCTGATCTAGAACGAAGGCGACCCATACCTTCCATGCCCTCATCGAGACTCCGGCCGCTTTCTCTCTCTTGCCACGCCTGCTGACTTCCTTGCAGACGGTCCCGGCAGACCATATGGTCAAAGGGTCTCCGTCGCCGACATTGGTGCCCATCATCGCTGTGAGCGGAACTCCGGTGCTGTGGCACAGGCACGGAATGCGATCCTTGAAGATAGGCTCCTTGCTGGCCCGCATGACCACGCCCATCTCCTCGTAGGCCGCCTGCTTCACGTCATTGGCGGCCTCTTCTGCCGGCGTCAACGTGTCCAGTTGCTCGCGCATGTGATCCGTCAAGAGATCGTTCAAGTCGGAGACGACGTGCATGGGCCTGGAGTCCCCGGTGTGCGCCATCAGCACCTTCTGAGCGCACTCCTTCTTCTCAATGGCCAGGCCAGTCTTCATCAGCGGGCGGCCGTGATGCGTCAACAACATGCGATTGTTGTCGAAGACGTGCTTGAGCTTCCCGAAGGCCGACATCGCCGTCCCCTTCCCGGCGTACTGCTCGTGTAGGAAGACACCGCGCTTCAGATTGAGCTTCAGCGCCATCATGAATTCCTTGTTCCCCACAACGGCCTGAAGCGCAGGGGGCCAGGCATCAGGCTGCGCGGCTCTCTCTCTTAGCTAAGAATCGAAGAAAACGCGAATTCAGACGTCGTCTGATCCCTGCACCCGCAAAACATATGGCGCCATGCCCCCTGAAAAAACATTGGGCACCGCTGGGGGTCGACTCGTTGCCCCCTGAAAAACATGTTGGGGCGGAGGCGTTTGTTTTGGTGAGAGCGCGCGATTCCTTCACCCCGCCCAACGCCTGATAGGCGCTGATCGGCCAGGCGAATATGTCCGTGGTGCTCGCGGGGCCGGGCAACAGGTGCTCGCGGTCATTCCACCAGTTCAGACTGCCCACCCGGTGAGAGCGAATCATCAGCTGGTGCACAGGTGGATCAACTGCAGCCGCCATCTGCCCATGGTTGCCTGTCTGGTCTGCCATGTAGGGCAAGCAAGATATTCCAATAACGAAGGTGAATCTCAGCTTCTGGGCAAAATGGCAGCGCTAGGAGGGCCGGAGAGGGTCGATATCCAAACTGGCCTTCAGCGATGCTTCAGTAGCCTCGGGGGTAAGAGTACCCCCAAAGAGGATGGATTTGAGGTTGAGGAGGACCTCAGGTGCCCGCGGCACACCGTCTCGCGAGGCCGCCCCCTGGAGAAGGGCGCCCTGCGGCCCAGGCCGCGACGCGCGAGGCGCGATTACCTCCGCGCGCCTCGGGGGGGGGACCTGCCCCAGGTCGCATCTTCGGCATCTTCCGGCCGCCGGTCTTGGGGCCATCTTGGAGTCCTCTTGGGGCCCTTTTGGGGCCCTCTTGGGCCCTCTTGGGGCCTTGGGGCCCTTTTGTGGAGCCCTACACCAGAAAACTGACAAAAACATTGAAAATCACCGAAAACCGCTGAAAACAGCGAAAACGGTGAAAAAACATTCGAAAATTTGAAAATCACCGAAAACCGCTGAAAACAGCGAAAACGGTGAAAAAACACTCGAAAATTTGAAAAACATTGAAAACCGCTGAAAACAGCGAAAACGGTTGAAAAAACAAAAAAAAAACAAAAAAACAAAAAAAATAAAAAAATGCGCGAAAAATTGTTTTCCAATGGAATTCATGCGAAACCGCCGGGGCGGAGTTTCGAGGAGTTTCGAGCTGCTCGAAACCGGTTTCGAGCTGCTCGAAACTGGAGCTCGAGCGCAGTCGCCGAACCTTAAGGTTTTCATGCTTTTAGAGGCCCCCCGCTCCCGGGAAATGTTTTGCCAAAACATTTCCCGGGAGCGGGGGGCCTCTAAAAGTATGAAAACCTTAAGGTTCGGCGACTGCGCTCGAGCTCCAGTTTCGAGCAGCTCGAAACCGGTTTCGAGCAGCTCGAAACTCCTCGAAACTCCGCCCCGGCGGTTTCGCATGAATTCCATTGGGAAACCAATTTTGGCGTTTTTTTTGTTTTTTTTTTTTTTTTGCTTTTTTTTTTTTGTTTTTTCAACCGTTTTCGCTGTTTTCAGCGGTTTTCAATGTTTTTCAATTTTTCGAATGTTTTTTCACCGTTTTCGCTGTTTTCAGCGGTTTTCGGTGATTTTCAATGTTTTCAATGCTTTTGTTTGTTTTCGGGTGGTTTCACCCCCCTGGGAGGGCCCCAAGACGGCTCCAAGAGGGCCCCCACGAGGAGGGGGAGACAGGATGAGACCCCAAGAGGGCCTCTAGAGGGTCCCAAGAGGGCACCAAGATGCCCCTGGCGATTTGGGGGTGCACCCCCAAATTGGGAAGCCTCCGTTGTTCAAGTGTGGTGCCCATCGGTTTGCTTGCATATTGATTTCGCATAGCAAAGACCATGTTTTTTCGCCCAAGCCGACGTGACAAAAATGTGCGGACGGCTCTCATCGGGAAACCCCGGGAGGAGGAGGGAGGAGCCTGTAACGGGCGACCCGCGCGGGTCACCCGGCACCTCTGGCACGGCGTGGGCCTTCCTGGCTCTGGCACGGCGTGGGCCTTCCTGGGCATCTCCCAGGCCCCGAAGACGGCTCCAAGACAGCCCCAAAGAGGCCCCAAGAGGGCAACAAAGGGGGGCCCTCCTGCCCGCTGACCTCCCTCCGCCCTAGGAAGAGGGGCAAGGGCACGGCAGGGGGGCGGAGGGGGGCCAGCCCTCCTCCTCCTCCTCCTCCCTCCTCCTCCTCCTCCTCCTCCTCCTCCTCCTCCTCCTCCTCCTCCTCCTCCTCTCCTCCCTCCTCCCTCCTCCCTCGCCGCCCTTCTTTCCACGCCCTCTCTTCCTTCTCTCCTTTTTTATCCCAGTCTAATTAAGAGCTGGAGCTCTGGCTACCACTGCTAGAACTCGAGCTGTCACTGCCACTAGATGCGCTAGCAACCTTCCGCGACTTGGGGCCCCTGCCCCGTTTACATGCAGGCTGCTGCGATGACGCAGTGATTTTCCGCTTCTGCCTTGCAGGAGGCCTTGGCTCATGATAAGTTGGATC